TATTTGAAAGAGAGAGAATGAGAGAGAAAGAACACATGAGAGGGGATAGGGTCAGAGGGCGAAGCAGACTCCCTGCCAAGCAGGGAGCCCGATGCGGGGCTCGATCCAGGGACTCGATCCAGGGACTCCAGGATCATGACCTGAGCCAAAGGCAGTCGCTTAACCAACTGAGCCACCCAGGCGCCCTGGTGGTTTTCTAAACTCTTGCACCCAAGTCTCTACCATGCAGTGAGGTCCCAGGAACAGGTGGGCTTTGGGGCCCGCCAACCCTAACCTGTGCCGGGCTCTGCGCCTTTGTAACCGCAGACGGCTGATTGGTTGGGCCCACAGATCAGCGGATTGGTGGGCAGGAGACGGATAAGCTGATTGGTTGGGAGAAGACAGACCCACTGATTGGCTGGGAGGAGACAGCTAGGCTGACTGTTTGGGGGAGGACAGCTCAGCTGATTGGCTGGGAGGAGACAAATCAGATGATTGGGGAAGGAAGTCAGGAATCCCTGCAAAGGAATTTACACACACAGCTTCAGTCCTGAGCTCTCTAGGGTTCTAGGAATTGTTGGGGAATAAGATTTGGTACTCCGGTCCTGTGTGTGTTCAATGTGTATGATGAGAACTAAGTGCTGTGGGCACTAAACAGGGTCTGGTACCTGTACAAATTTTAAAAGAGGAAAAAAAAAACAAAACCCAAAAATGAGATTTATAATATACATAGTATTCTGGGGACCTGCTTTTTAACTCAGCAAGTGACTCGACATCTTTTGCCCTCGGTACCTCTGTATCTATATCTTTAATGATTGAATAGCTATATAAAAGCTTTAAATTTTATGCTCTCAAATCTGTCTGCCTTATCTTTTATCATTTTTGCCTGGGGGAGGGGGTGGCTGGTATCTCTTCTCTACTCTAGGTGGTTCATGTAACCTACTTCTCTTCTACTACATTCGTGGTCTCGTTTTCCACACTTCAACTTTTAATCTACCTGAAATTTATTTTATGTTTGAGATAGAACTCTTTTTTTTTTTTTTGAGATAGAACTGTAACTCAGTTTTAGTGGTCTTTCAATGGTCCTGATACCATTTATCAAATGACCGATTTGATTCATCACTGGTTTCAGGATGTCACTTGGTCATATAACAAATCTTTATATATTTAACCTGTTTCTAGCCATTCTATGTTGTTCCATTAACTTATCTATTCTTATACCAGCAGTGCACTATTTTATTTTTTTTATTTTTATTTTTTTAAGATTTTATTTATTTATTTGAGAGAGAGAATGAGAGACAGACAGCACAAGAGGGAAGAGGGTCAGAGGGATCAGGGAGCCCAATGCGGGACTCGATCCCGGGACTGCAGGAGCCGAAGGCAGTCGCCCAACCAACTGAACCACCCAGGTGCCCCAAGAGTGCACTATTTTAATACCTATAGCCTTATAGTTATGGTTACAACCTTCAAAGACCTAGTATGGGAAATACCCCATTCTTCTCCTGTAAGAATGCATCAATACATACATGATAAATGCATAAGTAAATGTTACTGGAGAGCATTTATTCTTTCAGACAGACTTTATCTATTTTGGTAAATTTTAAAAGATATGGTTGGCATTTTTTTTTATCACACTTGTATTTATTTCTATAACACCTGCTGTTACTACAATACTGACTCAATCTGGCAACACATCTCTTAAATTATTTACCCTTAAGTTTGTTTCTCTATGTAGGTAATTCACATATCTCTTACTTCTTTTATATGTTTAGTTGCTATTACAGATGTTTTTTTTCCCCCCATCACTATGTTCCCTTACTGGTTAATGCCATTAGCTACCTGTTTACTAGGTCTGTCAGTTCTTTGGGTGATTCTGTTAGTCTTGACAGATAAGCAATTGTTTGATCTCTGCATAATTACAACGTTATCTTCTCTGGAAGAAGAAATATTCTTTATTTTTGCCTTTTTGCCTAGGCAAAATCCCCATAAGCACAAGGAGGAAGGTTACTGACTTAAAAGGAAATGCCTCTAGCATTTCACGGTGGGCTGTAAAGAATACTGCCACGTGTTAATAGTATCCATATATTAGAAGGGTTTTGAATATTAGGGATGGATGTTGACTTTTATCAAATGCGTTAAGGGCATCTATCAGGATGTTTATGTGACGTTTTTTCTTTGAGCTACTGACATTGATGAATTACTCTCTCAGGCCACCTTGCAGTAAATCTTACCTACTTAGGTTTTCTCTTGCTCTAGAACAGTTTGCTGGGCCCTCATTTTCGTATTTATTAGAGCACTTGCAATTTTTCAAGAATTCCTCCTTTCCAGACCCCACGTGTGAAAACTTGGCCCCAGGCCCTTGTCCATACCTCTCATGGCGCCCATCAACCCGTCCATTCCTAGCCCCGGTCACTCCCCTGACCAGAACTGAATCGATCCACACACGCATTTCCCCATTTGCTCCTGAGGCAAAGAGGACAAGCAAAGGCCTCTTGGCAGTATTGTGGGGGCCCCTCTGTCTGACCTGGGCAGTCTCGGAGACGCTTTGGCAAGCCAGAGCACAGGCACAGACCATGCAGTGGGGTCTCCTTGCCTTGAACCCCTGCTCAGCTTCCCCTAAGAATTCCTCCTTGAGTTACCGCCCGTGTTCACTTCTGTCAGCCATCCGATCCTTTGTGCACCATGAAGGCCCGACGCGCCTGCCGCACCAACACTCACCTGGGGCCTTGAGTTCAGCATCGATGAAGGTGAGCAGCTCCTGGTAGATGCTGCAGTAGGGAACAGGCCAGGTCAGGAACCGGTGGTAGGTTCTGGATGCTTTCAGAAGGAGATCTGAATCGGGTGGGAAGTGTGGCGTCTGGATGGAAAGGGAGCAGCGAGCAGAGAGGTCTGGGTGAGAGAGAGCTCACTGATATTCCCGAACAGACCCTGCTCCTTTCTGGAATGTGCCACAGAAGGCACTCTGTTCCTGGCGGCAGTTCGTCCCGGGACAAGGTCAGAAAGAACCGGAAGTTACCACTGGGGGTGAGTTACGGGTGGGCAAGATGGCACCCGGGGGGCCCCAATTACTGTAAGGGCCATGATTTCACCACACATAATACCCAGTACGTAAGAGCGCCTCTCTGAAAAGCTGTCACCGGGGAGGTCAGCCTAAGGGTGCGATTGCTCCCACTCGCTTGGGGGAGTGGTCTTCAGTGCCTGAACCACCTCTATTTATACATCCCCGTGGGAGGCAAAGGTCTATGCTTGGAAGTGGACTGGCTCCCGCGTAGGTGCGGTCATTTGGTGCCACCGGCCTGGTGAAGACGGGATGCTCACACCGGGTGAACCGAAAATCTCTCAGCAGGACCTGCGTCACGCCTCGTGAACAGGCCGGGGACCCGGAGGTGCCAGGCACCGTGGCGTCCTGCATGGAGTTCTGGAGGCCTCTCACGGGGGCCGCTCGGAAGCCATCAGAGGGCTGACACCTGTTTCAAGGGTCCCGGCTTGTCTCTGGAGGGGTGAGGCCGCCCCTCCGGGGCCCCTCCCGCCTCCCCCTGCTGGCGGGCGCTGGAACTTACGCAGAGGACAGTGGAGTAGAAGAGCAGGGCCAGGGGGGCGAGAAGGTCATAGGTGCCCTTCTCTTGGACCTGTGGACAGGACAGGAGAGGAGCGTGAGGCTCATCACAGGTGCAGAACGGAGCAGCGCTTTCTCGTTCTGTCCTTTCTTTTCTTTCTTGCTTCTGGGGAAAAGTAATGTAAGCACTAGGCAAAAATTTGGGAAATACAAGTTAAAAAAAAAAAAAAAGCCCTCACAATATCCCCCCTCCAAAAGCGACCACAGCTGATGTCGCAACGATTCTCCTGACACCATTTCTCCTCTACGTATTTTCCTCTGCAAACGTGTAAATCATAGTGTGTATATTTTTACTCCTCATGCTTCTTACCTGTTATTATTATTACAAATGAATTTCTGTTTTGCTACATCATCTCTAAGACCACCTTTTCCCCTGCTCCTAGTTATGCAGTTCCTTTTTATTTCTGTTATAAAGATTTTTTTTTTAATTTGTGGTATTTTTTTTTTAAGATTTTTAAATTTATTTGAGAGAGAGAGAGAGCAACAGAGAGCATGAGCAGTGGGGGGAGGAAGAAGCGGGCTCCCTGTTGAGCCAGGAACCCAACATGGGCCCCGATCCCAGGACGCTGGGATCATGACCTGAGCCAAAGGCAGACGATTAACCGACTGAGCCACCCAAGTGCCCCTGTTGCGTATCTTTTAATTTTATAGATTTTTTCCCTGAAGTCCCGATATTAGAAGTGTTCAGTTTTTCTCCCTTATAGGTTTTTGCTTTGGCATGCAAGCATCATGTAAATATTCATATATCTTTTTTCTTCTTTTCTCTGAAGCTTCGTTTTCGTAAATGTAAATCTTTAATCCACTTAGAATGCCATCTGCTGTATGGTATGCGCTAGGAAACGCACTCTGAATTTTTCCAAATGTTTAGTCAATTTTCACTAAACCATTTAATAAATCTTACTGATGCAATTTTTTTGTACCTTAAAATTTGTTTATGCCGTTGGACAATGCCCATCTTTTTATTACCTGCATAATATTTCTTCTGCTAGACCTCCGTCATTTATTAGCTTCATTTTGGACATTTGAGATTATCTTATCGTCCAGCTGTTTTAAATCTTTTTGCAATGCACATTACTCTGTGCACATTACCTTTTTCCATAATTTGGATTACTTCTCTAGGTTCGAGTTCAAGAAGTGGGATCAACGGGTCAAAGACTATAAGCATATTTCTGATCTTTGAAGCTCATTGCCAAGTTGCTTTCCAGAAGGATGGTGCCAATTTTAATATGCCATACTTGTATACAAAAACACGGGTTTCACTCTACCCTTCCCTGCATTGCTCGTTATAATTTTTTTGCTAATTTGCTAGGCAAAGACTGTCTCATTATGGTTTTAATTTGCATCTGTTTTATTGTAACTGAGGCAACATTTTTTCCATATTTTTTTCCAAGGTCTACATACTCTTCGGTGCATCATCCCTTTGACCCACCCACCACACTACATACGCACGTGATTTAGAATTCTTTGGTCAACATGCTAAAGGTCTCAGCCCCTTCTGGAACTCGTGGGCGTTGAAGATGCAGAGAAAGTCCCACCATCTGTGCTGGGCTCCACAGGCTCAAATTGAGAATTCTCCTTTTCTTTACCCTGAACAGACCACGTGTCCAATACACCTGCTGCCCCATCCGTTCTACAAGCCCTCCCCTATTGTTACAAGGTAGTTGATATTTGCGTTTATAAAGTAAATACCCCAAAGGTGGTTTAGCTTTTCTGAGCTGGTCTGCTTGTGATCAGGGTCTAACAGCACCAGGTAAATGGTGGGACCAGAACTGGGACCTTGGGCGTCTTGATAAAACAAGACTTTCCAGGGACAGCTGAGACAGTCACATGTCTTCCAACTCAGTCATGTATTTAAAGAGAAGAAAGGAAAGAAAGAAAAGAAAAGAAAAGAAAGAAAGAAGGAAAGAAAAAACACTTAAGAATTCTTTATTCTTAGCCAGCATCCTCTGTAGGGATTCCCAGCTGTTCTGGAAGACCAGCCCAGCTGAGCCTCAAACACATCCCTCTTCTTAGTCATAAAAGCCTATTTGTTATGGACCTGCTGTTAGACAGGGCCTCAGTTTAATCACTTTTCTCTTCTGTGTCTACTTTTATGGATCTTTTCAAGGAAAGGAATTCGGGAGAGCTTCCCCCCTCCTTTCTAGTCAGAAACCTTCAATCCACAAGCAGTGCTGGAACAGAAAAGTCAGGGGTTCCCAGTGCCTTTGCCAAGCCCCACGCCGGGCCAAGCACCCCAGAACCGACACTCCGTGGGGACCTTTCCCTTGCGTCTTCGGTCCCCGGCCGGCGCTCACCTCTCGGGTTTTCTGCAGTATCTGCTCCAGGAGGATGAGGAAGTGGCCTGGGTCCCTGCTGACCAGCTCCTGCAGGCTCCAGCAGTTGAGACACAGGCCAGCTGGAAAGGCAGAGAGGCGAGTTCAGCTCAGGTTTGGAGAGCAGCGGGAATCCCCGCGGGGATTGCACGGGGGCACTCCTTGCTAAAGTAAGAGTCTGAGAAAACTCTGGATCAACAGTCATCTCTGTCATGCCTCATCGAGACAAGTGTCTTAGTCCTGCAAGAGACACAGAGATGGGCCGGGAAGCTACGGTTCTTCCACAGCCTCCCCTGTCCCCGCTTTCCCACAGGGGTGCTGGAACCTGCAAGGTGCAGAGAAGGAGCGCAGAGGCAGAGAGTGCTGGAAGGAGGAGAACAGCCGCGGCTCCCGCCGCCCCGCAGAAGCAAGAGCAAGGCTCTCCTGGCCGTGGGGCTTCCCAGGACTGCGGGGCAGGGGAGCGCAGGAAAGGGGTAAGGTCCATGCCTTTATCTTTTGAAAGCCCGAGTGGGCACTTGGTCATTCTGTAACTTCCCCAGACTTCCTTACTGTGTCGGTCTCTGTTTCCCCGCAGTCAGCAAGGGCAAACCCCTAGAAATTAAAGGGGTGGTCATGGGGGCCCGTGTGCGTGTGTGCGCATGCGCGGAGTGGAGGTCAGAGCAGTAGGGGCGAGGCGGGAAGGGAACCAGCCGTGGAACTTGAGCTCCGCGCGCCTTCAGGTGCACCAGCGCCTTTCAAGGTTGGGGAGACCCTAACAGTGTTTTCATGTGGACACGGGGTTTTGTAAAATTGGCCAAAGTCAGATATTTTTGTCTTCTTTTACTTAATGATGCCCCTCCACACACACACTCCATTCTATACGCTTAGGCTCCGTCAAACCCTAGGCAGGAAGCAAACTACCATTTACTGAGCACCTACTGTGTGCTGATAAGGTGCTATGCTCTTGCATACACTCTGCCCCACGGAGTCTCCCATCCTCCCTTCAGGAAGTGGCCCCTGTTGTCGCTACTCTCACTTTATGGCCGAGGCAGGTGGGGTTCCTGGGAGGTTAAGCGACTTGTGTGAGGTGATAGCAGCCAGAGAGAGGCAGTTTTAATCTACATCTGTGTAATCCCAAAGACCAAGGAAAGCCTCTCAGAGGAGGTGACACTTGGGCTGAGACCTGGATGAGAAGGAGCCAGCTATGTGCTGTTCTGAGGGAAGAGTTCCAGGCAGCAAGTGCAAAGGTCCTGAGGTAGGAAGGAACCAGGTGAGTTCAAGGAGCAGTGGCTACCTATCTCATGGGATAGTTAGAGAGGCAAGTGAGACATGGGAGGTGCACAATCTCAGAAGCATGAGAAATTATTACAAGTAGGCACCAGTCTTCAGAGATGCAATTGCCCCAGCCTGCAGATAAGCCCGTTTCTCAGTCCTGGGAAACATGGAAGCCTCCCGCTCCCTGAAGCTCGGCTGACATTCCCCCTTGTCCTGCAGGGAGAAAGGAGATGGGGTTCTGGAAGGAACCAGAAACCAACTAAACAGAACTCTGGGGGGAGCCATCTACAAATTCCTAGCTGTTCTTTTGGAATCGGCAGCTGTGGTTTTTTTTTTTTTTTT